CTGTGGAACAAATTCTTCCTCTCTGGTTCTGCCAATGATTACGACGGGTATAAAAGTCAGCTGAACCTCTGCAACAGTGCAAAACGGAATAAGCACCGACATTTCGAAGAGCACCTCGCAATCACCACGAAGACCGCCCCAAAGAGAATCTTTGCTTACGTGAAGCGAAGTCTGAAGCCGGCAGTTGACGTGCCAGTGCTGGAGGGCCCAGACGGAGAGCCCCTAGCTTCAAGCACTGAGCATGCTTCCGCGTTGGCGGCGCACTTCACTTCTGTATTTGGGAATGATCAGGTGTCTGTTCAGAGTTCGACGTATACCGCTTTTACCGAACTCGACAGTCTGGATTGCGGCATTGAAGAGGTATGTCAACTACTCGCCAAGCTTGACGACAACGAACCTGCCGGTCCTGATGGTCTTCACCCACTGGTTCTCAAGTCACTTTCGACCATCATCTCTCCTGTCGTGACTGATCTTTCAACTGGTAGCTGTCCGAAGGTTCGTTGCCGATTGACTGGAAATGTTCCGTGGTCAAGCCTCTTCCGAAAGGCGACGACCCTAACAAAGTAGACAACTACAGGTCAATTTGTCTGACACCTATTTTGGCAAAGATTGCTGAGAAAATCGTGAAGAAGGGATTGCTGCTATTGCTATAGTCAAACGAGGTCCTGACGCCCGCACAGCACAGTTTTATGCAAGCTCACTCGTGTATTACGAACCTGCTTGTGACGAGGCATGATTGGTTGAAAGCAATAAGCAAGGGGAAGACCGTCGACTTGATGTTCATCGACTTCAGTAAAGCGTTCGACAAGGTCAGCCATGAGGTTCTGCTTAACAAACTCAAAATGTGTAGTGTCGGTGACTCACTGCACCGGTAGAGCCGCGACTTTCTTGTTGGACGAAATTGGAGGGTACAGGTCGACGACCATGTAACTGACTAGTACCCCTCCACATGTGGCGTGCCTCAAGACACTGTGATGTGGACCACTCTGTTCCTGATCCACATCAACAATCTACCTCAGATTCTCCGGTCGCCGTGTGCCTTGTTTGCGGACGACATGCAGATTTGGAGAGAAATCGAAGCTCCCGACGACTGTGGCCGACTTCAGCAGGACCTCAAACGCTTGTCCACATGATGTGCAGCAGTTCTTCTCCAGGCCAACCCAGCCAAGTCTGTATTTATGAGCCTGGGGAAGGGTGCTAACCGCCGAAGCTACACCCTTGACGGCCAACCGCTATAACCCACACCCTTCGTGAAGGATCTAGGCGTATTCTCGTGCTACGATTTGAAGTCCGTGGACAACATGAACAGGCTATATCGTAACGGACTGCGCATGCTTTGAGCACTCAAACGTCGCTTCAGCACATGGTTTGAAGAAGTTGCCACTCGCCTCTTCTCTTCCGTCATTAGACCAATGCTGGAGTACGGTTCGCCGCCAAATTTCCGATTACCCGAGGCGAGGCACAAAAGACCGAACGGGTCCAACACGTTGCTACCAGGCTCATCCCGAGTTTAGGTGGCTTGGGGTATGAAGACCGGTGCGAGAAACTAGGGCACTACACCTTGCCCTACCGTTGGGTACGAGTCGACCTCATTATGACGTACCGTGTACTACATCTCGGTGACTTTCCCATGCTAACGCCAATGCTGCACTTACGAGGGCCATGCAGTACACGTGGACACAGATACAAACTAGTCGTATCGGATGTGAAACGTGTTCTCCACCCACTGTGCTTCGAATTGAGAGTGGCAAACAATTGGAACAGTTTGCCTGAACGTGTGATGGAGGCAACATCTGTGCAGCAGTTCGAAACGTTGTTAGATTTATATTTTATCACCATTCGATTCAAAGAACCATTGTACACTTACGATGACATGTCACATTTGTGAGTTCTGCAATACCGTTAGCCAGCTATTTCAAATCTTACATGTGAACTATAACGATATTCACGGCTGACAATTTTTATGACATTTTTCACCATATTTCGAAACAGTTGTACAGAATTCATTTATACTTGCCCTATACTACAGTTTTCATTATTCAGTATTCAGAGGGATTACATTAGACTGGTGAAATAAACAGGCGAAAGAAATCAATGCATGTCTGCTTTATACATCACCTTAATAGGCCACATTAGCGAAGAGACTTGCATGTTGTTTCTCACGTTGCTTTTCAGTTAGTGCATTACCATTCGTATTTACACGTGCAGTATTAATTCAGTCTACATTTTTTTAATGCAACCATGGATATTATACAGACTCATCGCGCTACTATTTCAATGGTGTGAATTTGACTGACATGTATTGACCCAGACAAAATTCTAGTAATGGTTCCTCGTTGCGATCCAACACAGTGACAGCTCAAATATGTTGACTCAGGAAGTGTTGCTTTTAGGGTGGTTACCTTTGTTTTACTCGAAGCGTAGCGATTTGCTTGAATGCGCTGCGAGAAGTCAGTGGGACAGAGGACTCAATAAGAATAAGCGTGATGTGTGCCTCGCGGTTCTGTATAAATCTACGAGATGACTCGTGTAGACTACACAAAAAGCCCCAGTCTATTTATTATTTCATGTATCCTTAAGGTGGCTAGCTTAATTGGCCCGGTGTATATTTAATTACTGCCATGCACAGTCTAAATAACGTGTAAAAACGTAGATGAAGAAATGATGTCAACATATTATAACTGGTAAAATAATGTATGCGTGATGTTTCTCATACAAAGGCCAGAGTATAAATTGCAAGGTGTTCCTTGCTGAACATTTCGTATTAGCAGAGATATATGTTCTCTTGCATTCAGTTTGAGATTGATCTGACGATTACATCCTCGGTTTTGCACCAGTGTCTCCTATTTTATTACGTAAAACATCATGTGACGTAAATGTGCTAGTATGTCATTAACGTTTCTTTGCACGGTACTGAGCTGGAGGTACCAATAATTTGCTAGCAGGGAATTTTATTATTAAGATACTCAGAGAGGGAAACCTCTAGGCGATTTTGCAGCCGGCTGTGCCGCACCCCAAGCTTAAACTGATTGCACCTTACCTAGGTGTTATCGCTGTGTTTCAAGAGTTGATGTCAACGGGGGGTAGGAGTTCTGGATCCGAAACACCATCCTGTGATCTCTTCAATGACACCGATAGGGTTTACCATACACTTACATTTTCTGTCTGACTGGTTACGGAATTCAGGACAAGCACTTACACTAGTGCTTCCCTGAGTTGAGCAGTCTAAAGGGCCATGAGATCATGTTTTTACCATGGGCGCTATAGTTGGAAGTCGTATTTCAAGTTTGGCCCAACAAATGTGCCGATAATTCAGTAACAGTGAGCAGCGTCAAACATTCCGAACACCTTATTCAAAAGACCAAAATGCTAAATAGCTTTATTTGAATCCCTTTCAGGCTGCCTCAACCAACTGAGGTTATGTTAGAAGTGTACATCTAGGTCGCTCTTATTGGAGGTAAGCTGAAGAGTTAGTTGTGTTAGCCGATAGTCGTCAGTGCTTGCTGGTGTATGCTCAGAATTTAGGAAGGGGCTGCGTTGAATTTCACTATAGTCTCTGTTGAGCACAATTAAAGGTCACTTTACAGTTCCGTCTGATCTTCCATTCTAGTGATAGCCCGGTACATCACTGGATCATTAGCGAATAGTGAAAAACTCAAGAGAATTCCCTCGCGACATGGCACTTGAAGTTCGGGGACATACGTGGTCGGAGTACCAAGCCTCGTGGTACGCCACACTGAACTTCTTCTAGTTCGAATATGCTGGTAGGAGCCCTCAACTTCCAATGACGTTAAGGCTTTTTCAATCCAACCTAAAACTGGACTACCGATTCCACAATTCTATAGCTTGAAAAGTAGAATATGATAGTCCGGATGTTCAACAGCCTGTGCGATGTTTAAACAGTCAGCATCTGTTCGACTGCCACTCCGGGAAATCGGAGTGAAAATCCCCTGCTTTCACATATGCGAAAGTGCATCACGACAAAATGTCGTTGGAAGGGCCTGGTTAAAGTTTAGCCAAACTCGTGGGAGCCACGTTCACTCATTTTTCGCAAATGTTGTCTGAGCGCGGGTTGTATTTGCATAAGGACATCAGCCACTTCAGTGTATCCGTGATAGCAGCTTGTACACGGTCAAAACCTAATATTATTATGATCTGCATAAGATGGACGCTAGATCAGGATGTAATTTGGCAGGTTCGTATGAGTTGTTCAGGAGCGTTGGTCGCCTTCTGTACCGTATGAGCTAGCTCATCTGCACGATGTGGAACCGAAATTCTGCGCCTGACTCAACGAAAATAACTGTAAAGTAGCCTGGAATTAGAACACCATCTTATCACAAAGTCCAGTAGGTACTTTATCCCCAGAGACTGGTTTGGCGCAGTTGTTTCTGTGAGTTCTACAGGCAGCTCAAGTGACTGCTGAGAGAAACTATGTGAGCTTGCTTTCTTAAGTCCCTGATGACCATGTATAACTGAATCCTGCTTCTTAGCGGTGGCTCCATGCTTTTAAAATTGCGTTTTGTCTACTGATTTACTTCCAACTTGCTTGTTGAGTTGTTTCACCAACTTGTTCCAAGCCACCTTAGGGGACCAGCTATTTATGTAAATGAGCGCAGACGTCTTTTGTGATTGTTTACAAAATTAGCTACATTCAAGGTATTCAATGCGACACATGCAGTGAAAACATAGTGCCGCATGATCGCTGGGGCCGAAATCATTTTTCGAGCATGATTTCATAATTTGTGATTGCGTGGACAAAACTGAACAGTAGTCAGTGTCCGCCACTACCCATGTGTGTTTAAATTTCAACCCGGAATTTCATGAATATGCGGTAAATAACGAGTTTATTGTGAATACCACGATTGGTAAAATTTATACAAATTACCATTCTGACCATATTAGGTAATCATGCTTTGGCCACTCTCATAGCCCAAGTAACAAAACATGAAATCAGTCGTAACTGCAGAAACTGAGTTACATATATTTCTAGGTGAACCCACCTTAGAGGTCATCTGGTTGGACTGAAGCAGTTGCGAGTTTGGTTTGCCGCCAACTTCCTTTAACCGACGAGGTGCTGCTCCTCGATCGTAATCTCCCATCGCACTGGCGAGGTAGCGTTTCTGAGCTGTGCACAAATACACATACCCGTTAGTATGGTCAATCGTTCATGAGAAAGAAACTACAGTGTTTATCAACACTAGGGTTTCATATAGATTGTACTTATTTGTTACAGTTAGTGATAGGCCTATGATACGTTAACGCACTAAAATTACATGTTCGGAAATCATGCTAATTAAGTTCAGGTATTTTAAAACCTCATCTTTCCCTCTTAACCGGTTCATAGCTTCAACTTAAAGTAAAAATACTGAAATCCCAGATGGAGGATATGTAAGTAATGAGCTTTATGGATTGTGTATTTTTAGCGGAAGCCCACTGGCCGGAAATTGATTTCAATTCCAGGAACATATTGAGCCGTCATCTCTCGCATTTGTCTACACTCAGTGTGTAAGACTCAATAACAGTGCCTGCACATTTTTCCTTAGCTGTTTCCTAGTATGTACGTTTGCGCTTGTTGATTCAGTTTACAAAGAGCATACTGCTGGTAATTTTCTCAAGCAGCTGATTTACCTCGACGGTGCATGAGAAATAGTGATGTGGGGGTTGATGACAAGGAGAGAGCTGCGCTATATCACATCTAGTAACTTATTCACGATGGTCGTTGCCGTCCCCCGTAGCTCAGTGGTCTCAACCACTGACTGGCAACAGCCGAGTTGCGCGTTCGAGCCCTACCAAGGGTGCGATGGAATGCGCACTGCTGATGATTCCCGAAAGGATAAAATGCGCGTACAGTGCTTTCCCGGGCGTGTGGCGGCTGCCTGATTAGTCTAGATGTGACGAATTTCTACTTATAACATTCAACTCCCCCTCCTACTACTCTACTGTATCTAAAATCTGTATGATGACTGGAATCGACATACGATTCCCTCAGGCCATTACACAAATTCATTTAAATTGGACCTAGATGTTTCCAGTGCGGAGTTGGAAAAAGAGTTAGTAGCGCTCGGCTAGAACTGTAGGTGCATGGGGTACCTGTTATCACGTCAGCTGGAATGCGTACTAAATTGCTATGAAGGTTACGATGTGAACATTTATGGATAACTCACAAGCAAATGTAGTTTTCTGAGGCCCAATATCAGCTTATTTACTGGGATCTACAAAGAGGATACATAGCTGGACGAGAGTCAGGTTGGCTACAGCCCTATAGTTCCATAAGTCGCTTTTATTATTGTTATTGGTTGCTTCTATTTAACTTCGTTTCTACACTGTGAAGAAACCTTTCCCTTTACGTCAGCCAGACACCAGATGACAGAAGAACACACTGTTATACCGGCTGAGCGGTGAGTCAAAGTTTAATGCAAACACTTGCGTAGTTAGCAGTCTTATTACAGTTATAAAAATTTAGAGTATTAATAAACCTTAGAACCAAGCAAGTGTTGGCGCATTTATGCCGTACAGACGACAGTAGTCTGCATTTTTATTGATGAACACCACGTAGCTCGCCTAGTATCTTCTTGCAGCAACACCACAATTATAAACGTCTACGTTGATTTGACTGTATCTCCACGAAAGTATATTCACTTTTCGTCAGCTCTATATATGTTTATGTTGAACGGTTTCACAGTGATACAGTGGAGGTTATAAGCTCCACTATCCATTAGCACATTTCTATTTTCATAAGTATGATTTTCAAGATTAGGTGTTCCTAATTTCTCAAATCCTAATTCAACGCCAAAGTGGTTTGCTCACGTATTCCCATAGAATGAACAATATTAGAAATCTGATGTATGTTTAAGTAAGGAAACGCATTTATTGACAGAACCAGCAACATCGAAATAGTTCGACTGACTACAGCTTTGAATTTTTACTGAATGTTAGTTTAGGTTATATGTACCTAAGTCCAATGCTCAGTACTTTCATCCAACATGTTAATTATGTTGGATAAAAGTATATCCCTTCTTAGCGCACTTTGCATTTGCAAACTCTGGGTAGTATCATAGCTGTGTGGTACTTGTGCACCGAGTTCCACACGCGGGTGCTGATGCACTGACGGCGGAGTACTTTCTACACATATAATCAGTAGTTTGAAGCTATGTAGAATACCGTACATGTGCACGTGCATGTGGTTGTGTACATTGATTGGCAATTACATTAATGGACACTTTCCATGCATCTTCGGTAAAGAACTTGGGGAATCTTGGCTTCGAAATTGATTCATCCTACGCTAATATGCTTATAATGCAACTAGCACACATATAACTGTCAGTTTTACATGCAGCAAAATGAAAACATATGATTGAAAGAACCTAAGAAAGGAAACAGATGTTGGTGGTGGTACAGGACTGACAGCTGATGTCTTCCATTGCAACGTGAAAATTTCTGTCCTTCCGATGTACAGCTCATCATCGCCATCCACCAGAACAGGTGTCACAGCTAAATGCAGATAAAATGGCTAGCCAGTAACACGAATAATATTTACCTTTTCAACAACGTTTCATCTTAGAAAGGGATTCAAGTTTGGGCTTACATTTTAAGGTGACAGAACCAACCATATTCCCATTTAACAGGCATTGCTGTTCTGACTTAATATACCCGGTGCGAAAGTCGATGTTTGTCCGCAGCTACATTGGGCTAGTGCGAAAAGTTAACGAACTTTCGTCTTAGGTAAGAAAACAACTCACCAATTGCCCCGTTTTGAGAGGCCGCCTGACTGATTTGACATTTGGTCTGCATACAGTGATTAGTATATCCGTTTGCGTTGAAGGAACCATTCTCATTAATTCTACCGTAGCTCAGAGATGTAGTGCACCGCGCGGGATTTAATAGATTTTCACTTGCTATTTGAGTTCGTTCGTCACACTTCGGTCCTATTTCACCAGCAACTTCAGTCCGGGAGTTTTGTCTTCGCAGACAGTCCAAAGTTGACCGTTGGACACATGATGGATTTGCCTGCAATTGTAATGCGTTGCTTTCAAAGTTTGCGCTGGCCCGTTTAGCTATTGAATTACTCCCATACTGTGACGACGAGATGGGGAAAATCGTGTAGGGAATAAAGTGAGGGGATTGGATTACGGTTAGTACAGTCATGTTGTATTGCTACAGTCCAAAATAGTATTAGTCGTGTTTTCCAAACTCCATATCACAGACGAACATCCGTTATACGTAAATACAACCTATCACATCAATTTTCATATAAATATTGATATTTACTTTGAATTGTTAAATATTCCGATAGACAGCGCGTAAATATACTGTGTTACAGGAAAAACCATCCTAACTTAAAGAATGTTTTTATGTAAGATATGACCACCGGTTACCATGGAATGCATCGAGACCAGAAATATTATGACATACTGATATCTGTTACAAATAAAATTAAACCGAGTAACAGCAGGATCATGCTCTTTAACAATAATTGTATGCTGTTGCTGTGCATAACTCTTAGTTCCCTATTTTCCACAGTGGTGTTAATCGCAGCAATGGGGTCAGAATATTTCTGCGGTTACTTTCGGCCACCCTTGATTACTTCAACCCTGCTCTGTTCAACAAACATTAGGCAGACTTGTGCAGTAAGGAACCCTTTGACTGGACAAGTAGGTACATGAAGCAGATGTGTCTTATTTGGTAGCTGCCCATATTTAAAATAAAAAATTAAAATCGTGTTAGTCTGAAAAATTAAACTTCAGCAATCTATTATGTAAACACCTTTATTTGCTAAATTTTCAACATGTTAACATCTCCCGTAGGTGTCCCAGATCTACAAAATTAGTACATCCATGCGGAATAAACATTTGTTAACCAGGTTCAGGTTTTATGGCAACGGAAATATATGAACTTGTGTTTCGCATGAGTGAGCTTCAAAGGATTGTTATACTCGATGGCTCAAAGTTGCAGAACCTTGAGTTCCTTTTATAAGCCACCCTAACACTCTGTACTAGTTTGAGCGTATATGACAAAATCTAGTCAAGATCGTTATAAAATTGAGGATTTTGCAAAAAAACGCTGCTCTGAATTGTTTGCAGGGAACTAACTCACCCACGACAAACTGGAGATAGAGCCACGGGGTTTGACCTCAACCCTGGGCGGTTGCTGCTGTGCAATCCACCCCGATCTCATTTGGTTTGTCTGTACTGGTAAGTCCTTTGCTTCAACTGAGGATGGATGCGGTTTGTGATGGAGCTGCGAGAAGCCACTGACAACCGTGCTGGTAACACTTGACTGAGACCCAGTTGTATCATGATGGCTAGGTTGCACGTGTCTATACATAAGCGCTTCTGACTAAAATTAGAGGGCAATGAACATAGTCTTCGTTGGGTTCGTAGCCAATTCGACATAGTTTAAGCTCAGCGTATCATGATAAATGTCGCAGCTTCGCTGCGATGCAGATCTGAAGTGAAATGGTTTATGACTCGGAACTCAACCTAAGGATGGCATTTATCATGGTCCTGAAGCATCCATCATAAAAATACTCTCACAGTATACCTAAAGAGTAAAACCGTTGCCTTGTGTAGGTCGTGTAAAAGAAGTGGCTAATTTGAATGACGAATTAAGCTAGAAATATACAGCACGTTTTAAGTCATGTTCAAGCTTACTATCATTTGCGTTAGGGGTATGTTTGGCAACCCTAAATTACAGCTTGCTAATCAGGATACATAAATATGCCGAAACATAATCATATGAATTAAAATGTTCTTATAGACCATCCTTGCTGAAGTCGGCCTGTTTGGAGAGTGCAATAATTCGCAAATCCCGGAAGATCGCATCAGAAATAGCTTATACCACATAAACTGGGGGGTTGCAATCTAATCATCAAACAGGCTCTCATTGAATCTAAACTTGCTAGTTCCGCACCCTTCACCTATTGAAAACCAAATATCGGCGAAATAATGATTAAGAAATATACAGCAGGCAATGCACACGTGCTTCACATGACTTCTCAAGTGCTTCAACCAACCTGTCTGAACGACAAAACCAAACTTCTAGTGATCAAACAGTTAGTTGAGAATGACCGTATTCATTTCGCAACATTCATTATACGATAAAAATTAAAGCCTGAATGTACAGGATTTATAGCCTGTCAGCATGCACAAGCAAAACACTCACAAAAATATGCTAATAAGCGAAATGCACTTTTAGTTCAAGCTGGTTTTTACCTAAAATATTTACATTTATCCGTTAATAGTCCCGATCAATTCCGGCCAAGTATCCTTCTGCAAATCTGGAAAAACTCCAGACTGATATTCCGGCCTATTGAGAGTCGAACAAATGACCTAGTCGCATCAGTAGCCTATCCCACTAGCTTTAGTATGACGAGGGTAAACGGGCTAGCCAAATGAGAGTTAGCGCGAAGCATCATTTGTAACCATGCAATCAAAACTCTATTACTTTTTTCCACCGGTAATCCGCACCTAGACATCTCAAATACCTCCTTACACGGATTACTCGTTATGCTCTAATTATCATTTTTTCGATAATACATAGTTATCTAAATCTGTTTATTTTGCACAAAGGAAAGAAGGAGTTTAGGTAGTGTATTAAATGTAGTCGGGGAAAAGTTGGGTTTAAAAAGAATGATGGACGTAAGATTTATCCACCTGCCAGAATGTTAAGACACCTAGAATTCCCATTTGATGAGGTGTCAAAACATGCGAATCACTGCAACGTCTGACTCACTGGAGGCTTCAAAGCGCAGACAACATTTGCTCCGTTTGTGCTATTTCTTTCGACCATTTCACTAGATAGCCCCCGATCTGGCGATCTTGTTGACCGCTTTTTGGTCCGCATTGATCTATTTTTCGATTTCTCCACACTACTTCTTGTTTTGACTGGCGTTCCTACACGAGTGTAACTAGCTCCTTTGGCAGTAGATTTTCCGGAATCAGTTAGAGGTCGGTCCCCATTCACGCAACGAATAAGATCGGAATTCGTGTCGTGATCCACGGTGTGATCATTTCTGATGGGTAAGCAGAGGAGGGAGAGAGAAAGTGACGTGCTATTATAAAAATTTTGGTGGCATGCTATTAAGTCCATGCAATCACGTTGTGCATGTCTTCTAGGCTAAAAGGGGAATATGATGACTATTAGGACACCATTTTCTACTCATTGTGAACACCACACAAGTAACAGTTATCTAACTGACGATTCTAAAGGCAAAATCTAAGAAGACTAAATTATTTTTAACGGAAATAAGTGAATGCTATCTAGATATTCGTAAAAATTAACAGGATGTGATAATTATTCGGTACTGATGTTAAGTTAAAATGGTCTCAGATAAAGTGTGCTGAGAACAAGATTAACTTCATATACAAAGGATTAAGAAACGACCAGTGCTGTATGTTCCATTCGTAAGTACCATAGTTTCCTTAATATTCGAGTAAGAAGCTGAGCGTTATAATCAACTGCGGTAAAACATTCAGTCTTATGTCATAAAGCAGTATTATTTCTGAGCAGAAAATGTGGGGCTTGGTAATATTTTACCGTTTAAGATTGTGTAAGTTTTAAGCCAATTAAAAGCAATATATGAACAGTTGTCTATTAGAAAGTGTTTAATTAGGCGGGTTATTTGTGCGCGAGATATACTCAGCATCAGGTGTTGGAACCTGCGCACACTACTGGACCAGAACTCGAGTGAGCGCCAGGAGCGACGCACTGCACTCGTCGCGATGGAACTGGCAATCTACCACATCGATATTGCGGCGCTCAGTGAGACTCGGCTAGTTGGGCAAGGTAACTTGAATGAAGCAGGTGTTGGCTACACATTCTGCTGGGTGGGCAACGCCACCTCAGCACCAAGTGAACATGGGGTCGGATTTGCAATTTCCGATCGCCTCTATGGCCAGCTGGTGGGTAAACCAGCAGGCATCAGCGCGCAACTGATGACTGTTCGCCTACGAAAGCCATGGTCTCTGATAGGAGTAGGCGGACAACTCGACTATCGCCGAGTTTATAGATCGCTGAATTCGCTTCTCCCATGACACGTGGTTAGGGAAGCTACGGTTAAGTTATTTTCTGCACCGGGCCCAGCTCGATGCACTTCAGTGGTTCACAGCAAACCTTTACCTTTTGCCTAGCGACCTCCTCACATTTCAGTTCTTTTTTAATGACATCAGAGTCACTCTATGGTATTCCACTTGCCTTCTGCTCTTTCACTTTCTCTTTGCCTTCATGAGTTTACTTTTTATTTTTCGACTTTAGGCATCCAAGCCGTCCGAGCAAAACCGGCCCAGGAAGGACTGCTAGGCAAGAATACGAGCGTGGCATTCTGCCATTGTGAATGGACATGGGAGTGAAGCGGTTTTGTTTTAGGTCCTCGAGATATTGTGTCAAGTTCGCCAACGTCCCTGCGTTCAACCGACCCGCGTGAGTAAGAAACACTCACAGGAATTAGATCCTTATCGTATGCCCAGTCCCCTTGAACTTGTCGAAGCAGATGTATTGTCGTGCGTCTAATCGTGCACCTTTATCATACATTGTGCATATGCCGCGTTCTGTGATCTACATGGTTGAACAGACAACTTGTTTTGGTCCCTCATGAACAGCTTCTCCTACAAACGCTCCGAAAATCGTGTCTCTGGAAACTTTCCTCTCTGAGAGTGCCGGATTTTCCTACACACTCGAGTCCATGGCTGGTGAGAGTGAACGTAGCCTATTGCCCGACGCCGTGTTCATATGACCAGCGGTGTATCCACAGGCTCCGTCCTCACCCCGAACTAACACATCTTCATCAACGATCTACCCGTCGGCGTCGTACAATCTGCATTAGCTTGATATTACATGCGGATGATCTGAAGATATGGAAGAGTATCCTCTCTAGAGTATGCTAGATCAACTACAAGAGACTCTCGAGGTCTACTGCACACTTGTCAAGGTCAAATGGCGCTTTACCCAAATAACGTCTAGTAGCAAAATTTGCCGTCCGTGCCCGTGAGCTCTGCGCCTCCGGCCCACGATTCGGCGCTTACCCACGATAGGTGGAGTTCGAGTGCTTAAAAATGTGCACTCTCAAATGATTGATTGTCCCACTCACGAGACTGTGTGTCATCTGCTCTCAACACGCAACTACACCACAACATAGCCGGAGGTAGCGTAGAAAAAGAGAGAGATAGAGGGGGCAGGCGAGACAAGGGGGGGAGGGGGGGGGGGGGGGGGGGCGGCTGGTTAATGGGGGGGTGGGGGGGCCTACAGATGGGGGGGGGGGGGGGGGGGGGGGGGGGGGGGGGGGGGGGGGTGTGGGGGGGGGGGGGGGGGGGGGGGGGGGGCTCAGACTGTGAGTGAGGAAATCAAATCTTGATGAAGTGACATTTTTGAGCAAGAAACTACCTATGTGGTAAGCGCCGAGTGGCCCAGGAGCTCCAATAGGCAGGATGGAACACTTATCTTGATAAATGGGTAAACGCCACTGAATCGATCAATTGTGCAAAAGAACGAGCGTTGCTTGTAGTTGATCAGCATCCTATAGAGAGAATACCTCCGTCTATATCTTCAGATCATGCACATAAATCAAGCAATCCGATTGAAGCTCAGACGATAGCTCGTTGGTGAAGGTCTTGAAGAGTTAGGGGCCGAGGTCGGAGCCCTGTTGGACACCGCTGGTCATTTGTACAGGATGGGAATACGTCACGTTCACTCTCACCAGCATGCAATGACTATGCATTAAATCGGAAATGCACGAGAGTAAGTTTCCAGAGACACCGATTTCTCGGGGTTTGTAGAGAAGCTGTTCATGAGGGACTAAACAAGTTGCTGTTCAACCATGTGAACAAACGCCGGATATAAAGTAGAAGTCACGATTAGACCGCACACAATAATCTGCTTCGACAAGTTCAAGTGGGACTGGAACGATAGGGATTATCCCTGTGAGTGTTCCTTCTTCGGGGGTCGTTGAACCAGGAGTTGGCGAACTTTGAAATACTGATGGACCTAAAACAAAAACCGCATCACACCCTGTCCAACCAATTAATGCCCACATATCCTGCCCTAGCAGTCCCTCCTGGGCCGGTTACGTGAAGTAGAAAAGAAAAAAGTAAACTCAGAAGGCAAAAGAGAAAGTGGAAAGAGACAAAGCAAGTGAAATACCAAGATACTTGAGGCATTAAAAAAGAACTGAAAAGTGAAGGAGTCGGCTAGGAAAAGAAAGGTTTGCTGTTGACACCCAAGAGCATCGAGCTGGCGCGCAAAACCCTTAACCGTAGGTTCCCTAACCACGTGGTCTGGAAGCGAATTCCAGCGATCTATAACTCGGCGCGACAGACGAGTTTCCGTCCTAATCTTATCAGACCATGGCTTATGCAGTTTCAGAGGGTGACCGCGGAGATTAGGTAACGTAGTGGGACTAAATAGCCCCTACAAGTCCGGGCCAATCTTACCCGTCAAAATACGATAAGTGAGAATCAGGTCCCCTCTTATCCTTCGGTAGTGCAGTGAGTACAGCCCCAGACTGAGCAAGCGTTCAGGATACGTCTGTCCCCGTAGACCCTACACTAACCGAGTGCCCACTCGTAACACCCTCTCCAAGTCCATCTTGTCTCGGTTAAGACATGGTGGACAAGCCTGGATACAATATTCCAGGTGGGGTAAGACGGATGCCGAAAATAGCTTCACAAACAAATTGGCCGTTAAGATTCCGAAAGAGCGGCGGATAAACCACATCATACGAAACCCTCGACAAGCAGCCTTCTTCCAGTTGTCTCCAGAATGAAGTGCAGATGAGTGTAGAAGCCCTAAATCAACCTGCTGAGTGACAACCGGGAGTTCACCACCGGCGACAACATATCGGGTGGGAGGATTTGCAGCTCCGATTCGGAGAACAGAGCACTTCGCCCTATTTATGGGCATCAACCATAAGGTAGACCATTCCCAGAGCCTATCCAAGGCACGCTGAATTGCCTCAGGACCCCCCGGGATATCCACAATATTCCAGAGCTTAAGGTCGTTAGCAGACCTTAGTGATGATACTCCTTGCTCTCCCGGCAAGTAATGTATATAGATTGCGAACAACAATGGCCCCAATGCCGAGCCCTGCGGGATGCCACTAAGGATAACTTGCTTGAACGAAAGTCTACGCCCCACACATACGCACTGCTACCCTCCCCTCTAAGAAGGACAACCCCCATTGAAGGAAGCGCGACCAGATATACAGTAAGGTCTCAACTTTAGTGAGAGCCCGCAGATGTGGGAACAGTGCAAAAGGCTGTCGAAAGATCTGACGAATAACCGTTCTAGCAGCGTGGCCCCTGGCGACCGCTTCGGCCAGCTTTCACGAGCTACAAGTAAATTAGTCTGACATGAAAATCCTTTGCGGAATCCATGTTGTGCAACACTGAGAAGGTTGAATCGATTCAGGTGGTTCTCCACTGAATCCCTTATCAGCTTCTCGAAAAAACTTGACTACTACGCTTGTCAAACTGACAGGCCGGTAGTTCGCGGGTAGAGCGCTGTCACCGCCCTTAAAAATCGGACAGATGATTGCCTCCTTCCATTCCGAAGGTAGGCTGCAGCTGTCCAGCGATATTGAAAATACGCACGTGAGCGGACCACTCAGCTCAGTGGCCAGTTCATGCAACAGCTTCGGATGAATTGAATCAGGACCGGAAGCTTTAGAGGGATTAATGCCTTGCAGTAGCTCGAAGACCTGAGTCTCCGTTATGCTAAATTCAGCTAAGCAAGAATCCTCTGGAACTCTTGAAACCAATTCAACCTGTGGTAAAGAGGTCTCCCGAGCAAAGACCCCAGTATACTGATCACTCAGTATACAAGCCTTGTCATAGTCAGTTTGCGCACGGGTCCCGTCTGCTCGCAATAAAGCTGGTATAGACAGTTTTGCCCCGCTGCGTCTTTTAACGTAAGCAAAAAAACTTCTTGGGATTAGCTGCGGCCGAGTCCGCTAAACCCTGCTCGTATTGGAGACGAGCAGTTCTGAGATGTTGCTTACATTTATTTCTAATCTCTCGATAACTATCATAGGTACTGGCTGATGGAGCTGCTTGGTAGGTTCGCCAGCATCTAGACCGTTTCTTGAGTAGGTACTTGCCTGTGGTATCTATCCATGGAGGCTGTTCCCTTAACCCTCTTTTCCTAATGATTGGAATCTAGGGAGTTGGAAACCTCCGTATTGTAATGCTTTAAATCTATCCAGGCTAACTGGACAGAGTCAGCCATAGTGAGTAATATGCTCAGGGAACATTACAGTGACGCTGAATGGCCATTTATTTCTGCATGGTGGGCGCAAGCTAAAGTCGCGCCCGCCAACTAGTTCGAAGCAATTAACCGCGTCTCTTGGTGCGTAATATGAGCACATCGAAAGGATATGTGCACACGTGAGTCGCTGATCTTAGAGTGCACCTGAGCGTAAACGTCCGGATCAAGAAGTCGATGAAGCTTAGCGAAAAACCAGATAAAAAAGTGCAATTGTATTATAGGTATCTATATCCATATACCTAGTGGTTGGAAGTAGCCACGGAACTGGTGGGGTGCAGGGTGACAAGGCGACTCAGAGAGTCAGTTCCAAGAGTAGCGAGTGCACCTTGGAATGTCCCTAAAGTTGCCGTATTGCAGATCGCAGAGAGCTGTGCCAGCACATACGTCTATGTCTCGTGGGAGAGGGTGTGAATTGCCCATAGCACCCTGAGCGACGACTTCGTATGCGCGAGACTGCTAGTGTCGAATAAGAAGAGATTAACATCTGGAGCGCCCTGGAAGGAACTTCCACTGGGACTTCTGATAATCGCAACTCGTAAGACTGTGAGACAGACGAGCACAAAAGGCGAGCTGATTGGAGGCGTCTGTCCACAAGCAGTCAAGATCCTCAGCGGAGGACCTTGCTGGAATGTGCACAGGAGCGTTCACACGGACGACTGGATGGCGTAGAGTGTACGAGCTCACATAGCAGTACCTGAGACGGCCTGGCCGCGCTTGGCGGACCGAGTAAGCGAACTGGAGCGATCAATCAGTAACCTTGATGCGGCACGCGCGTAGGCCATGCAGTAGTATAGACCACGACACGGCAGCCAGTCCGGAGAAGAACTGGAGACACTCGCTTGCACCATATCGGTTTTCAGTGAAAAAGCAGTATGGTGTGAGGGTGGGAGGGGGCGGGGGGGGGGGGGGGGGACAGGGGGGGGGGGGGGGGGGGGGGGGGGGGGGGGGGGGGGGGGGGGTAGAAAACGAGATTTGTATACAAGGTAGGAGGGCGCTGCCTAAAATCTCGTGCACCACTTGTCCTTAGGTTACGGGGCCGTAGCGCACTTGTTTTAGCAAAGTACTACCTTACTTCGGAAGTCGGCACGACCATCCCTGGGTTGAGGCGCGGCATCAGTTGCAGTGAGACGTCTGAGACTGGGCGGTGACGCATGTCTGCGCCTCGCGGCGTGACGCGTACGGGGCGTCTGAAAACCCATTGACGCAGGGGACGGCCTGGCCTATGGCTTACCTAGCGCGCCCGTCTAGTTTTGAGGAGTCTTTGATAGCCTGGCCTATTAAACTGATAGCATTAGCTAAGCTGGCGCGAGTGGTGCGAGGTCTGGCTAACGCTGACACACGACCCTTAAAGTTTTGAACGTCGAAACCGCAGTAATGATTGCGTTCCTCCGGGTAAAAGGACCACGCGAATGTCCGAGGTCGCGGATTTGGCGTATTTGATAGGAAGTGACTGCGCCAATCTGGTCAGCATTTCTGACGAGTGACAGCCTGGTAGGGAGGCCTGAGAGTCGGGGGTGTCTGGGGGGGGCCTGGAACTGAGGTGGGTAACCTGGGGAGGCGGGGGGGGGGGAGGTGGGCGGGGCTTGGTGGGGACGGAGACCAGAGGGAGGGGGTGCGTGCCATGGTGGATAGGAGCGAGGGCGGCTGGTGTGGAGGGCGTGGGTGGGACTGGGGCTAGGACCACCTTGTTCCAGCCTCAGGGCTGGGGGGGGTGGTCCTTTTGATGGACGGGCGGGTGGTGTTGGGGTGGCTCGGGCGTGGGTGGGGGGACCTAGGGTTGCTGAGGTGGTGGATGGGGACTGGGACCTGCTCGGGGGTACCTCGGTGAGGGGGGGGGTAACCAGTGGGGACCAGGGTGGCAAGGGGGGGCGACCTGGGCTGGGGACGGGGGAGCGGCAGTGTGCAGGGGTGCGAGCGGCTGGCATCATTGGGGGGGGATGGACCTGGGAAGGGCAGTTCTTGGACCTCGGGGGGGCCCTGGGGGGCTCAGGGGGCTGCGGGAACTGGGATGGTGGAAACCATGGGCAGGGGGGTAGGGCGGACCTTAGGCCTGGACCCTACGCCGGTTGGGCGGGGGACCTGGGGGGGGCGGTGCTGGGGGCCGTGGGGGGGCGGGCTGGGTCTGACCTGGGCTGGGGGGCACTGGTCCTTAGGGGCTGGGGGGGGGCGGCTGCCGGTAGTGGCATGGGCTGGGAGGAGGGGAGGAGGGCCTGGGCTGCGTGGGACCTGAAGGGGGTACCTGGCTGGGCTGGGGGCTGAATGGGGGGGACCCTGCCTTGGGCTGGGTCTGCGGGCTCGGCTGGGGGCGTTGCCGCTGACTGGGGAGGACTGGGGCTGGCGACTGCCGTGGGGGGCTGGGCGGGGCCTGCTTGGGCCTCGGCTTGGCGGAGGGAGGGCGCCTGGGGGGTGGGGGGGGCTGGGTGCGGCTGGCGGGCTGCTGGGGGGCAGGGGGACACCTGTCAGTGGAGGGCTGGGGGTGGGGGGGGGGGGAAGGAGGGGGAGGCGCTAGGGTGGACGGGGTGGGGGGCGCGGGCTGGGGGGGGATGAGGGGCTACCAGCGGGCGCTGGGCGGGGTGGGGGCGGGGGGGGGGACTGCGCGGGGGGGGGGCTTGCGAGGTCATAGGAACAGTGCTGGGCTCGGGGGGGGGGGGGATGGGAGGGTGGGGGCGCTGGGCAACCTGAGGAGGGCTGGTCTGGGCGTGGGCGGTGGACAGGTGTGAGGTGGCAGCCAAGGGGTCGGCGTCACGGCTCTGGGGGGGACCTCGCTCGGGGGGGGAGCTGCACGTGTGGGCTTGGGGGGGGGTCCTGGAGAGGCGGGGGCTGGGGGGGTGTGGATGTTGGGCGAGGGACCTGGGGAGTGCCCGCGCGCAGCTGCGGGGGGACTGGGGGTAGGGGGGAGATCCTGGTGTTGGGACCTGGGGGAATGTCAGGGGAGGCTCGGGAGGGCCTCGGGTGTGTTGGGGGGGCTGGTGGCGGCCTGGGGCTTGAGACTGGCTGGCGGCGCTGCGGTCTCAGGGGGGGTCCAGCTGTGGGTGCCCTGGACTGACCTGGGGGCTGGGGCGGGAAGTGGGACTGGGGTGGCTGGCTGGTTAGGGGGGGGGGCACTGGTGGGGGGCAGGGGGGGGGGGGGGGCAGTGGGGGCTGAAGGGTGGGCGGGGGAGGTGGGGTGCTGGGGTGCTGGCAGAGGGAGCTAGCCTGGGGCGGGGGTTGTTGGACCTGTGAATGGGAGGTGGAGGGGTGGGGTGCTAGGCGAGTGGGGCCGGGGGCTGGTGTTGGGTGGAGGTGGGTGGGAGCCCATCATGTCGACAGACGTAAAGAGGCTCGTCACATTCGATCATCGCTTCCTTCGTAGCTTAGCTCATGTCTAGTGAGAGCACCGCCTGAGCAATGAGCGTGTTCGGCGTCGCGTATTTGGTGCAGGAAGATCGAGTGAACCGCTCAGCACCATTATATCACTCACCAGACTCCGATGGCTGGGCCACGTGTTGCGCATGCCAGCACACCGACTTCCGCGACGTGCATTGTTTGCGCGCTGGGGATGCGGTTGGAAGAGAAGGGGAGGACGCCAAGTGATGACTTGGTCGAGAGAAATGAAAATCCTTACTTCGAAGTTGGCGTCAGTTGCTGCATTCCGACTGCCTTTTTGCGGTCCTAAGGACGATGAACATGTTTGGTTGGACACTTGCTGATATGGCTAGGAGCCGACCCCAGTGGCTTTTGTGTTGTGCGTTCCTTTGTCAATCTCCCTCCTGCTTAGTCTCTCCCTCCAATCATGATGTCATTTGCTAGGCGTAATATAACTCTTTTTACGGCAGGATAGCCGGCTGTTAGCCCTCCGGAACGATGTCCATCCGTTACTGGGGTCTCAGCTGGCGTGCCACTGTTGTATATTTTCTTTTTGTCTTTAGTATTGCAGCACAATGGCTGAAGTGTTTTCCACCTACACCTAACGTATATAATGGTGATGCTGATGTTTTGGGTGATACCCAAATCTCTTTCAGCTAAGGAAACCTGGAGAACAGACTCTCACAAGAAGTATATTGAAGAAGCGGAAGGGCGGGTGGAGAGGACTGGGCAGTTCCAAGGGTTAAACGGGTTGTTTTCCAGGGACTACTGGTGCAGACGGTTGAGGTCTCTCTGAAGTTCGCGGATGTCGTCTGGGGCATTGTTCGTGCGCCACAGTTTCGCGTCGTCGACGTAGAGCAGCGTCGAGGCGTCCACTTGTGTTGTGATATCATCGATGAAGTATAAGAAGAATTCCGGCCCAGGAACAGACTCCTGTAGAACTCCGCTTGTCACAGGAATACGGGAGGCGAGCGCTCCGTTGACGCGTACTTGAAAGGTGCGGTGGTGGAGGTAGTTCCGGATCCAGTCCATTAAGACCCCTGTAATACCATAGAACGACAGCTTATGCATTCGGACGACATGGTCGACTTTGTCAAAAACCTTGGAGAAATCTAAGAAGATGACTGCGCTTCCATACCTGTGTCAGCCACAGTCATCCAGCTATCCAGTGTGAGTAGCAGATTACTCAGATATGACCATTGCCGTCGGAAAGCAGTTTCCGTCTCAACGTGGTCCATTAAAGCACCGGCGACGATCGATTCCATCACTTTGGTAGTCGTAGAAAAGAAAGTTATCGATCGGTAGTTAACGGGGTCCTTACGCATGCCGCCTTTGTAGTTTGACTTAAGTGTAACGCGTTTCCGGTAGTTGGGGACTTCACCATGTGAGAAGAAATGGGTGAAGAGCTCTGATAGAGGTAAAGGTAGAGCTACAACGCATGTTCGCAGGAGACTTGGATGGAAACCGTCTGCGCCTGGGGAGGCTCTTATCCGCAGGGGTTTAAGCATCGCCAGGACCTTCTCCTGACTGAACTAAACAGTTGTCAGGGACGTTGAGGCTGAGAACGGACTGATGGAACAGAAAAAGCAAATGCGTAATGTTGGCCTAGTGGAATAAGATCTCGGCTGCCATGCACGATGCAGGTGCATCTGCTTGTGGCACTATCCATCGTCACCGCACTAGTCACTGGATATCCGACAGGTCGGTGAACCTGTGGGAATCTAGAAGACACCTCCCGGCTGGTTCTGAATACAATGTGACCAGACGGGCTATTAGGCGTGAACTAAAGCAGAGCCTACGTGCTGACAAGGAAGCCTGGTGGACTAGCAGGGCTCAAGAAATGGAGGTGGCAGGAGCAATAGGCAATTACTGGAAGCTCTTCCAACTAATCCGCACCACTGGTCGCACAAAACCAGGCGTCCGTGAGACAATCATAGACAGCGCGAGTGCGCTGATACACAATAAGGAGCGCCGTATGGCTCGTTGGGCGGAACACTTTCAAGATCAGTTCAGTTGGCCCCCTTCTCCCGGACCTCTTCCTACTCAGTTGATGCAGGACGAGCCATGGGCGGTTAGTTTAGAGCCTCCGTAGGAGGCCGAGGTCCGAAACGCGATCACAGCCCTCAATCGTTTTCGTGGCGCTGGCCCGGATTCCCTCCCACCTGCACTATTTAAGGATGGAGGTGAGGTCCTCTGCAAGGCACTGACCTCCCAATTCGAACGTAACTGGAACGAAGTGTCCCGGCTAATTGGAGCGAATCGATTATAGTGGCAATATACGAGAGGGGCAGTCGCACCGACTGTTCTAACCACAGGGGTATTAGCTTAATGCCAGTTGTGACAAAATTATTGGCCTCGATTCTCGTTCATCGCCTCACTGCGAAACGGGAATCTCGGATTATGGAAGAGCAGGTTGATTTCCGCCTAGGACGTAGCTGTATAGACCATATATGCACTTTGCGGCAGGTGCTAGAGCAGCGCCACTCATACTGCAGACCGACAATAGCTGTGTTCCTCGATTTCAAGAGTGCGTTCGATTCAGTTGATCGATCGATTCTATTCGAAATACTTGCGCGGAAAGATGTTCCCACGAATTATGTGAACATCTTTCGTGCTCTATACTCGAACACTACAGGCCGCGTCAGGGTCTATGGTGTCCTATCGGATAGCTTTTCGACTACAACTGGCGTTCGTCAGGGTTGTCCGATTTCCCCATTTTTGTTCAATTTCGTCATGGATTCTATCGTGGAGTGTTCCCTTGTGGAATCCAACGATGTAGGCGTTGAAGTGCTGCCTGGTGGAAGGTTAGTTAATCTAGATTATGCAGACGATATCATCTTGCTTTTCGACGATTTTGCGGCGGCACAATCAACCCTGAATACGCTGTCCGGAGTGGTCCCAATATTTGGTATGCACTTCGCACCTTCAAAGTGCAAACGTTTTGCTATGGGACCACCAGCTACTTTATGACCCCTTGACCCTTGCTAAGGAGGAACTCGAGGTGGTTGATAAATTCACTTACCTTGGCAGCTGCATCAGCAATGATGGGCGCATAGAAACTGAAGTCAGCTCACACATTACAAAGCCCGGAACTGCCTTCTTGAATTTGTGGTATCTTTAGGGACAGAAGGGAGTTTCCCTCCGTCTGAAAGGCCGGGTATACAAGGCCACAGTGAGGGCCATCATGCTCTATGGTAGTGAGACTTGGCCTCTGAGGCGCCTTCACGTTTTTGATCATCGTTGTCTGCGAAGCATTGCTGGTGTCGGATGGCAACAGTGTATCCGCAACGATTGTGTGCGTAGGTGAGTACTAGGTGGTGATAATCATGCTAACTCCATAGAACAACAGATAGCACTGAATAAGTTGCGTTGACTCGGGCACGTGCTACGCATGCCTGGTCACCGCTTACCTAGGAAGGCCTTCTTTAGTCTACCAGGTGTAGGGTGGCGCAAGGCTCGAGGTGGACAGAAGTTGACTTGGCAGCGGGAAATGAAGTCACTGACGACCAAACTGGGTGCCGTTGGTCTGTCTCGCCTTCCAGGCTGGAGTCCACGTGACTCACCTTGTGCTTGGCTCGAGACTTTGCAGGACATGGCTCGCAACCGAGACCAGTGGCGCGTCTGCCGCCGTCTTCTAATCGGATTGCCTGTTCAAAGTATGTTTGGTGCTGAGTTATCTGGGGGGTAATGGCTGATTATGACGCGTGGCAGTGAAAGCCGCAAGGAAGCTGTCTCGCCGATGACGCATTATCTTTGCACGATAGCCAGCTGTTTTTGACGGTATGTTGTCCACACATGGTGTAGGCGCCTTGACCCTGAATGTTTGCTTAGGGCATAAAGGCTTTCAGGTAAGGCCCCTTTTCTCTATTTCTTCTTGTTCTTTATTTCATAGGTCATCATGGTTGTATGGCAGTGAAGCATCAGTTCAAATAGCTGATGTACTGCTGTTGATGATGATGGTGATGATGATGGCCCAGGGATTCTGCACCTTCGTTCGCTGGTTTCGTGAGCCGTGTGGGTCTCGTCAGCGCAGTGGCACCGTGTTTGACTTGCCGAAGCTGGTTCGCGTGATTATTAAGGGCTTTGGGATTGGCAGCAAATCTGCGCAAGCTGACGCTGCTGCTCACTTTTCTCTTCGCGTATAAGCTGGATGCAGTGGTTACGGAGATGTCGGTAGGCTTCCCAGTCAGTAGATGTTCTACAGGAACGATATTTTCTCCAGGACGTGTCCCTGCGGGCAATCCATTTCCGGGTCCGACTTCGGACGGGCGTGAAGCATTTCTTCCCTATGAAAATCTGTTTGCAGGTCGTGGTTAAAGAGCACAGTTCGCGTAAAGTCGTGCAGAACGTTGACCACACGTTATCGGCGCTCAAGTGAGGTTTCGGAAACCAATTGTTTACTTAAATGAGTGCCTAACTTTTCGCTATCAGTCTAGCATTTCGTGTAAGCCAGCATGCGGACAGACTCTTCAGCAACGCATACAAATTCCTACCGAAGGATGCAGTGATCGCTGAACTTCCGGGGCATCATATTCGACGTGCTCAACCATCAGTTATTCGTTGGTGACGATGCGGTCCGGGAAAGGTTGTTGGTTGTTGGTTCGGAATCTGGTTGGCTGTCAGATATGGTTGCATAGCGGGAGCGTGTGAAGAAGCTCAATGAGGCTTGTCGCTAGCGAGCCAGTCGTCGGAACGGAGCGAAATAGACCGGGCAGATTGAAATCTCTCGTGATAATGTGTGTGTATCTGAGGGATAGAATGACGTGGATATCGCGCAAGTGTTTTGCGTCATTCTCGGAGTAGTTGTTGGGGGGGGGGGCGCTAAATGATACCAAGACAGCAGGAGTGT